ACCCTAGAGATGCTATGTTTTATGCTTTATGCCATAGATTGAGGGGGCAGAGAAAAGAGAGAGAGAAAGAAAGAAAGAAAGAAAGAGAGAGAGAGAGAGAGTGATAAAGGGAGTGGTATGATCCAGGTATTCATAATATTTATAAACTGTTTAAAGTCTAAAAAAGAGGTATCTTACAAGGGTACGATCAGTCAGGTTGGTGGGTCATGGATTTGGGCCAAACTTATTTTGGTGATTCTACACTCGAAAAAATCATACAAGTATCCGCAACTTCTTGTTATTTGGTTTCGCCAATTTTTTTTTAAAAACATTTTTTAATGGTTCTTGTTGTTACAAAATGCATACCTCCCTCGCGCGTCTTCTTTTGGGTATAACACAGAAATCGTCGACTCTATCAAAATTTCACTTTCAGTAAAAGTGGCATAAAATAAGCTCTACAATCGAATTGTATAATAAAAACTTGGGATTCTAATTTAAAATAACAAAGTTAGTGGCATATCCCAGCTAGATGAGAAAGTTATGTTAAATCTGTTACCACCAGGCGATTCCTAGCCAAAATCTATTTGGGGTTTGTATAAGGCCTTTTTTTTGTAAAATTAATCATTGTCGAAATAAAGGGGGTGGGCCATCTTGTTACAAAACGCATACTCCTTCACGCGTCTTCCTTCGGGTATAACACAGAAATGGTGGATTCTATAAAAATTTCACTTTCAGTAAAAGTGGCATAAAATAAGCTCTAGAATCGAATTGTATAATAAAAACATGGGATTCTAATTTAAAATAACAAAGTTAGTGACATTTCCCAGCTAGATGAGAAAGTTATGTAAATCTGTTACACCACGCGATTGCTAGCCAAAATCCACTTGGAGTTTGTATAAGGCCTTTTTTTTTGTTAAAATTAATCATTGTCGAAATAAATGGGGTTGGCCATCTTGTTAGAAAACGCATACTCCTTCATGCGTCTTCCGTAGGGCATAACTTAAGAATGGTCGATGCTGTCAAAATTTTCCTTTCAGTACTGATTTGGGCTAAACTTTTTTTTGGTGATTGTACACTCGAAATATCGTACACGTATCCGCCACTTCTTGTTATTTAGTTTCGCCAATTTTTTTATTATTTTTTTTTAATGGCCATCTTGTTGTTACAAAAAGCGTACCCACTCACGCGTCTTCCTTCCGGTATAACTCAGGAATGGTCGATCCTATCAAAATTTTACTTTCAGTAAAAGTGGCATAAAATAAGCTCTAGAATCGAAGGGTATAATAAAAACATGGGATTCTAATTTAACATAACAAAGTTAGTGACATTTCCCAGCTAGATGAGAAAGTGAAACTTAAATCTGCTACCACCACGAGATTTCTAGCCAAAATCCATTTGGGGTTTGCATAAGACTATTTTTTGCTAAAGTTAATCGTTTCAGAATTAAATGGGTCGACTATAGAATTTGATACACCCTGTTTATTAAGAGAATCGGGTCGAAATATATTTAAACGTTTCTTTGATGTGGTTAAATAATGTTAAAAAATTTTAATGGATATTTTTTGTAATGAAGATTTAAAGCTTATAAAACATTAAATGATTCAACCGTTAGATGTACGTTTAATGTGATTTGGGAAGATAATCATGATCTTGCAAGATGGATTTAACTTTTTTTTTAAGTTTTAATCGTTTCACTTGATGTTCTACGATATTCTAGGTTTTTCTGTAGATACTACCTCGGTAGAAAGTTTATGAAAAAAAAAAACCACCCGGGATTATATCCACATCATTGTCTATCTTATGTGGAAGGATGAGAAAGCAGAAATCCTCTCCTGGTCCCACCACCGTTCTCAGCTCCCCAGACGAGATCCCATTACCGTTCCAAAAAGGGCTAGGAGATTTTTGATTTACACCGTTTCACCTTCGACGTAAATATTCCTGTTTTTCGCCGGCTTTCTCTCCCCTGAAGGCCCCGGGGGCCTTCCCACGGCGAAAGATAAGATCATCGATCAAACGGACGCTGTCCATAGTTTGGAAATTAAACGGAACCGATCATTAGGAAGGAAATTCGTTTGAACGAATGATCCTGACATTTATGAGACGGACGTCCAGTGACACAATCAACTGACGGCTAATTGATCTTATTTGAACCCAGTTACGACGATATGGGGAGTCAATAAAAAACTCATCCCTTCATCTGACCCTATAACAATAAGGATTTACTTATCGAAATTAATTAATTTAAATAAATTTTCGCACGGTGATTCCTTATTTGTAGCAAATATGAGTTAGCATATTTAGACTATGAATTTACCCCCATGAACCAAGAAAATGGCGGTTTTTCCCGGGGTCACTGATGTCCAAAATCTGGCTTTCTTCCACTGCATTTGTCGTATGATAAAAAGTCAGCCGATATTTTATTATGACTAGTTGTCAGTAAAGCAATTAATGCAATATGCTCTTTCATATCGTCTCCATCACTTGATATCGGACGATATTTTATCATTTTCGCTTTTCAGCGGTGCACTGGGATCTAAAGGTACCTTTCACACTGGGCATCATGACAGTTGAGTAGGAATTTGGCATGGGTAATGTGATAACAGATATTTACTACTAATATATAATACAATTAATTAAGGTTTTCAGTAATTTTTCAAGAAGTAGTAAGAATTTTCCCTCCTTTTTGCCATTTTTCAATTCGAAAGGTGTGGTTGAGATGGGAGTTGGTGTCCGAGTGGATCGAGGCCACGATAGCTCAAGTGGTAGAGCAGCGGCGTATCAAGCCGAAGATTGTGGGTTCGAATCCCACTTGTGCCATTGACTTTTTTATCTCAACTGAAAACCTTAATTAATTGTAAGGTCAAGCGGACCACGAAACTAGTGAATCTAATATATAATATCTATTTTGTTTAAAAGTTAGATAGCAAAATTTTTCAAAAATTCTACTTTGTATTTTTATCAATGTTAACATCTTTGCTTACTCATTGGTGTGCTTTAGGCAGAGAATGGGGATGCTCTTAAAGGGCTCATTACAACCCGACCAATACATCTACATCTACATCTAGCCTCTTTGCTTAGTTTAATTTATATAATTGATTGGTTTGTAAAATTTTTGTTTGGCATTACTTGTTTATCCTTATATACCGCATGAGAAACACATGAACTACTTTTCAGAAGGATGGAGTGAAAAGTGAAGAACTACATCAGCCAAACTGTAAGATGATTAGTGTCCGTTAATCGATGATTATTCAGAAATCGTGAGTTGCAGTCTGGTGTGATGTAAGTTTCAGAAAAACATTTTCTTTACAGTACCAACGTTTCGATCTTTATTGAGATCATCTTCGGAGTGAGAGTGGCACTCTCAACACGACATGCAAGAACGGCACAATTACACAGAAAACAAACACTTTGAGCCCTGAAGATGATCTCAATAAAGATCGAAACATTGGCACGATAAAGAAAATGTTTTTCTGAAACCTACATCACACCACACCGCATCTCACGATTTCTGAATAATCATCAGACAAAAGATTTAGGCTCTTCATCTCAAAAACCATGAAAGGCCGATTTAGCTGAGGATGTTGTTAGTGTAAAGCCAAATATGTTGTTTTCTCAAGCAATACTGCCTTCAATCTTTTTAAAAATTGAACAACACTCCACTATTTATCATTTCTATACTGCCTTCATTCCTAGCAATTCATTCAATCCATTCCTAGCAGTTTGATCACTACAAGACCACCTCATTACCTTAGAGCCACGGTTCTGTAAATGGGGAATAAAAATAAATTACAAATTCTGATATGTCTCCTTTACCTTCGAACGTAAAATAGTCTCACCTATTTATCTGAAAATTCCACTTTCTGTAGCAGATCACATGAAATACTTAGGACTGTATATTCACAAAAGATTCACATGGAATTCACATGCACAACTCAAAATGGCAGAATAAAAACTACAGGCAAAAGATTAGCTCTTACGGGACAGCTAAAAAATCAAACCATAACAGGATCCAATCCCTTTCTTTGTTAGTAATCACACTCTCGACTCAGACCTCCAGTTCCTCATGTTATTGACCTAGCCATATCCCGATCCTCAAATTCCAGTTCTAATTAATTCTTCATTCCAACCGCCTCATCGTGACCTTTCCAATCCCCCTGGGAGGTTGATGTGTCGTCAGCACCATGACCAATAAAGCGATCTGTCAGTCGATGGAGTTTCGGTAAAACACGTCCTGCAGTTGAAGAGACTGCCTAATGTTATACATCTATGAGTGGTTTTTATACAAAATCTTTTTTGAGCAAATTTTTCCACACCCCTTGCTGAATCGTTGTGAGCTCTCTTGTAGATAATTGTGAATTGATGAAAGAAAAAATCAAGGTGAAATAGGCACTGACCAGCTCTTAGGACTAGTAGTAGCTAAAATTTCAGATATACTTGCTAATACAAAATAACAATGGTGAGACCCTATTTATTTTTATTACCCACTTATTATCATTTTTCATTTTTGTGAGCGTCAAATGAGAAGGAAAGTGAGTTGAATGTGCCTTATTTTTACTGTATTTCAATCATTTTGCTTCCTAGAGTGGAATATCTGAAACAAATTCTGCTGAAATTAATGACAAGATGTGATGACAATTGCAGATTTATAAAAAGTTTCTGACAAACAAAACTAGGGATGTAAGTGAACCATAATGATTAGAATTGACCAAATGATCTGTGATTCTCGTTGATCCCTATACAATATTTTGCAATATAAATACAAGATATTATTTTAAATAAAAGTGGATAGGTGTTTTTGTTCAACTGTCAGCTGAATATAAATGCATTCACCTTGACAAGTAGAATGGAAAGACACAATTAAGAAATTATCCAGATTTCAGTAAAAATCACTTATTCAATATTTTTATATTATTTCAATTTTTTTAAGAGTGAAAAATGGAAATATGTTTCATAAAATAATTGTTAAGCATACAAGGCCAAAAAGAATTGAATTTCACCCTAATTTATTATTACTTATTCAGGTCCGCCTTGAAAGTATCGGAGCAGAAGATATTGTCGACGGGAACCGGCGACTGATCCTTGGGCTCATTTGGACAATCATCCTCAGATTCCAGATCCAGGAAATAGAAATCGATGTGGTAAAGTATCGAAGATTTAGGTCTTATTGATTTTAATTAAGGTATATTAAATGCATAGATTATAAATTGGCGATGAAATTTTTCTAAATGACAACACAAAATTGTAGCTGAAAAATAATTGTTTTATTTGTGTAAGCGATCAGTTATTGAAATAAGGTTAGTTATAATTTGTAAATTATGTTAATAGCCTGTGTAAATTTAATGTACAAACTTTTTTTAAATGAAAAGCACTGCTATAGTGGCAATTTTGCACCGCTAACTAAAATTCACTAGTGAAAAATTTCAAATTTTCGAATTTTTAAGAAAGAATTGTGAGTCAAATAACTTTTTTCTTTTTTTAAATTCAAATCGGCTTGAACGGGAAAGGAAACAGGTACAAAACAAATTTTCCGAGAAAATTAAATTTAAATTACACTGATGGGTAAAATAATTACGCACTACCATGTATTTAGGTTTATTCATAGTTTGCATACCAAAAATAGGTTTTGTTGTAAAAATAAGAACAATAAGACAAAAGAAAATGTTTATTACCTAATTCTAAAATAATAATAATAATAATTATTATTATTGAGTAAAGAACAAAACAAATAAACAGAAAATTAAAAAAAAAAAATAAAAATGAAAAAAAAAATTGTCCCTTTTAAGATGGAGTATTTCTTCCTCTGGCAAGAGTCTGTTAAATGCCTTTGCGAACCTTGGAAAAGAATTCTGGTAAGATCCTGAAGAATTCTTTCCCATTCAACAAGAAAAACCATTTCCAACTCTTTTAGGGTGTTTGGACCTGGGATTCACCACCATACTTATCGCTTAAGTTGGACCTAAACAATTTCAATTCCACACCAAGCACTCCAACCTTATTCAGGTAATCCAGTGACTCGTCCAGCGAGTAATCCACAATATGTGCTCTATGGGTCCTGGGCGGGGCAAATGACCCATGATGGTATGCTCTTTGATTATGTCTTGAAGTACCTCTGTGAAGTTACGTCCTTACACAACAACCAATTTGGTGCAGGCGTTCAAAGAAAAGCCACCACAGAACATCAATGACCCACAATGGAATGCCACCTAAAGAACAATAAAGCACGAGGTCTACTTTTCTTATGAGCATCTCCATATGAAATTACACCCAAGTGAAGATTTAAGGCCAATTCTCATCTCAACAGTAAAGAGTACTCATCACCAATATTCCAATAGAGAACGGCCATTTTCTAAGCTGTAATAAGAGGAGGTCCGCAAGCCCTTATGTATTTTCATTGAGCCATTTTTCCAGTCCTAGAGGAACTCAAAACATTTCAGACTTGTCTTATTAGATTTCTTATCTCATCTCCCATAATGTTGCGGTTACTTACAGCCTAATGACAGATGAATCTGTTGCCTCTCTCATCCATATACCTAGGTCGACCTGTCCTAGCCTTCTAGTTTCTCTGAAGCACCGAAGAACCCTTCCTAGTGTAGAGTGATTTACACTCAGTCTACGGGCAACTTCACACTGTGTGTCCTTCCTTTAATAATGTTACAAACCTAACACGTCATACCCACTCAAATGCTTGACTGGAGCCATTGAAAAAGGTTTAAGGATAAGAATAATATCAAATGAAATAAACAAAGGAAAAATATTAACTGAAAGCGATCTTTAGACGCAATGGAAGGGCACAATTCTCTTTTTTGTGCAAATGAGATTATTCATACAAACTTCAATACAGGACATAGAAAAACATTATTTACTGTTCATTTTGAC